ATTTATTTATTTTAGTTTTTGGCGGACACAACATCTTTGTTTGTATGTGGTGCTGAGGATCGAACCCGGGCCGCACGCATGCCAGGCGAGCGCACTACTGCTTGAGCCACATCCCCAACCCAAGATACATGTTTTTAATGAGGTTAATGTGTCACTAAATCCTGTTAGTGTTAATTGGCAAATTATTAAATAGAACCTTTGAGAAACAATAGGTTTACTGGAAAATATGGAATTAGAATGTCATTTCCACCTGTGGCTTGAGAATAGTTGTGTAAGAGATGTAGTTTGATTCTAAGCTGAGTTTCTAAAACTATAGGAATTTTGTGAGTGGTAGGAGTGTTTCATGTTATTTGTAATAAGTCTCTTTGGGATCACACTGAATTTATGCTAAAGTTAGAGTAGAGCCCCTAGGTAGCCAAAAGATCAAGTGATTAGTCAGTCAATCACAGTGGTGAAGACCTGTAATTGCAGAAACTTGGGAGGCTAAGGCAAGAAGTTGATTTGTGGACGACTAGCCTCAAGGAATTTAGCAAGACCCTAAGCAACTTAATAAGACCCTGTCTCAAAAATAAAAAATGGCTGGGGATGTAGCTCAGTTGATAGAGTGCTTGCCCCACATGCACAAGGCCCTGGATTCAATTCCCAGCACCAAAAATAAATAAATAATTAAACAAACAAATAAACACACACACATACACAGGTGAAGCACCCCTGGGTTAAATTCCTAGTACCAAAAAACCATACCAAAACAAAAGACAAAAAACTCCCACAAAAAACCCAAAACCAACCAACAAACAAAAACCCAAACCTACTTATCTACTGTCTCAATCAAGTGATTTAGAGGGTTCTAACTTTCAGCTCCCTACCAACCTGTCAGGAAGGGAATAGGGGAAGGATATTAAGCTCTATAAAGATTCCTGATGGAGGGTAGGTGGGGATGATTCTTGCTAAGCTACTGGGTTGGTGAACACATCCACAGGCTAGGGGTGTATGGGAGGAAGCGATACATCCCATAATTCCATTGGGGCTGTTCTGAAACTCAGGATTTTCAGGTCTCACCCTATATATCTCTTCATTTGGCTGTACATCTGTACACTTTATAATATCTTTTATAGTGAACAGGTAAATGTAAATAAAGTATTTCCCTGAGTTCTGTGATATACTCTAAGAAATTACCAAACCCAAGGAGGATGTTGTGGGTTCCCAGATTTATAACGCACAGGAAAAAATGTGGAAAGCCCATATTTGCAACTGGCATTTGAAGTGGGGGGTGCAGTCTTTTGGAATCTGACTGCGAACTCCAGGTAGACAGTATCAGAATTGAATTACAAGAACACAGCTGGAGTTGGAGATTTGGTCAGTATGTGGAAAACAGCACACACATCTTGTGTGAGAATTGTTCTGAGTACAGCAATATTTGAGTTTATATCAGAAATGGAGATAGGTCAGCTTTCTCAACTCTACTCAGGGATTAATGATAATCTAGTGATTGTTACAGAGGTCAGGAAGGAAGAGAAATAGATTAATGAACATGTCCTAAGCATCTTAGAAAGCACTATATATTAACACTATAACAGGTTTTTAAATCTAGTTTCCCCCATGACAAAGGTAGCTTACATATCAAATTAAATTAAACGACTCATAAATGGAGAATGTTGAAACCTAAATTCCTTGCAATCCATGTTTCTGGATAACCACTGCTGACAGTTTAATACAATAAGAGTTCTAAAAGAACAATGGACCTCCAACCTTTGTCCTCTTTGCTGTCATATAGTTACACTTGACAATACACTTACTTGTTAGTTTGTAAAATTGGAAAGACTGTATTTCCCACACCACAACCAACCTAGAGATAGAAATGAGCTATTAGTCATAGAAGCTATTAATAATATTCACAAAACCATTAACTCTCTAAAGCTAAATAATCAATAAATAACTTTGCTAATTGTATAAGGGAAGGTATAGTGACTAGAGCTTAACAATACCCGTTACATTATTTAATCTTGATCTTCTTAAAGAGGTAGCCATAAAAGACAGGAGCATGGGCTTTCATTAGAAGGGAGCTGATTTAGAATATGGGCATAGGCTACCTTATTTATTTTTTAACAGTATTAGGAATGGAACTTGGGGTTTCATGAATGTTAGCCAAGTGTTCTACCAGTGAGATATATCCCCTGATCCTTTTTTTAAAAAAAAATTATTTTTAAGTTGCCCTAGATGGCCTTTAACTTCTGATTCTCCTACCTTAGGCTCCCTAGTAGCTGGGATTACAGGCTTGTATCATCACATCTTGCTATCTTTACTTCTTAAGTCCTAGCAAATGTCCCATCGATAAAAATATTTTCCTACTGAATTCCACTGTACTATTACTGGAAAAACAGACTGAATTGAAAACTACAAAAAGGATACCTTATTTACTTTGTCCTAAATACAGCACTGCCTGTGGTAATAAAAACAGCAAGCATATACTGATGCTAAGGTCTTACTACATGTCAGACACTATTCTGGTATGTTTATGTACATTATCTCAATCTTCCTAACAATGAGGAGGCCAAGAGGCAACAAATCCCAATACTCTGGGAAGCACAGGAACTTGTCCAAAATCTCTCCAGAGAGGGGGTAGGGGTGTAGCTCAGTGGTAAAGCACTTGCCTAACTTGTACAGGCCTTGGGTTCAGTCCCTAGCAACACACACACACACACACACACACACACACACACACACACACACACACACACAGTCACACCACAGGACTCAACTGCAAGGCCAACCAGCTCCAGAATTAGCTTTCAGTGGACTGTATATTTCCTTTGTTGTGAAATTCTATTATAATACCCATCTAAACATCTTTCCAGTTCAAAAAATTCAGGCAATTCCAGGCCAATATAAGGGTCAAGTTTAGTCACCTTCATCAGATAAGAATCATTTTTGTGGTAAGGCTTTCTACTTTATTTTGTGTACACAATGTGACAACTTCACTAAGTCCACTAACAGGAACCTAAAGGAAGTTACCTCGAGTATTCGGTAAGTGGCTGAGGATCCAGGAAACTCATCAGCACAAATTTCCAGGTGACTGAGTTTCTGTGTTACAGTCTCCTCCACAGAAAACATCTGTGCTGTATGTTCAAGGGTGCTAGAACACTTGTGTTGTTCTCCCACTGTTAATCCATGTCCATCTTCACTGCTTCTACATGCAGAGATTTCATTCCTTTTGTTCTCCAACATTAAATCCTTCAAGTGATTTTGATTTTGGCTAGGTGCCAGTTCGGGGAATTCAGTAAAAAGCCAGTGTCTATCCTTGAAAAACCCATTTTCATGAATTTTGTAGAAGTCATTCCAGTATTTATGGGCATTGACTTCATAATCAACTGTAAAGAGTCAAGAAAGAATTTTGAGTCAGGTCTCAAATATTTTATATTATCTAATGTCAATTATCCTGCTTCACTAAATATCATTTTACACTAAAAGTAACCACATGTAGAGCCATAGTCACAGAGCTGAAGGCACTTGAGGTAATTTAGTTCTGTTATTATTATACCCAAATCCCCCTGATTTGTCATTCCCAGGGAGTTTAATTTCTGTTGGAACCATCACACAGGGAACTTCCTGCCTATCATTCTCCTTTCATGTCTCTGGATGGCTACTGAGTATTGGAAAATTCTAAAATTAAGCAAATCCCTAGCATCACACACACACACACACAAGCAAATATCTGTCCAATCACTTTTAGTAAAAAGATCCTATTGTTTCTTGGGGCCAAAATAACAACTTTTAAGTATTTGTGGGCAGCTACTTTCCCCTCTAAATATTTTATTTTAGAAACTAAATGTCCCAGGATCTTGGGTTGTTCAAGTAAACTCAATGGTTACCTATGTAATCAGCAGATCTTTGTTAAATATGTCACTCTCTCTCTGGTTCTTTAGAGTGTGAAGTCCAGATACGAATTCAATATTACTAGTAACTAAAAATGAAACAAGACTCAAAATAGACAACATAAAAATGTCTGTAGGTGAGAAGGGTTTTGAAGAACCAAAGAGACTAAAGGAAGAAATGTGGACTGAAGCTGGGCATGGTGGCTCATGCCTGTAATCCCAGCTACTCAGGAGGCTAAGAAAGAAGGATTGCAAGTTTGAGGCCAGTATAGGTTGCAAGACAAAAGAGAAAAAGTTAAAAACATTTAAAGTGATTAAGGCAGTCTCAGATTTGTTTACTTCTTTGCCAATACAAGGTCCCAACTTGTGTAGGGAGTTTTTTTTTTTTTTTTTTTTAAAGTAAGGAATTGGATTTTAGTCCCTTCACTTATATTACTGACAGCTTACCTCTGGGAAAACACTTAATGTCCTGTAGTCCAAGCTTCTTTCCCACCCCCTTCTTTTTGAGACAGGATCTTCCTATGTTTCCCAGGTTGGCCTTGAACTCCTGGGCTCAAGTGATCCTCCTAAGCAGTGGGATAACAGGTGCACACTGCTGCACTCAGCTAAACTTTCTGTAACTGTATAAAGATGAAGTGTACTACATGATTTTCAAAATCCCTTTAACTCTAACCTTGCTTTACCTAGCCTGTCAAACTAAGCTGGGTGAATAATTTGTAATTGGAATATTTTTATTATTGTACAGAACTCTTTTAGTGGGCATTACTCTCAAATTTCTAGTTGGACCAGCAATTGTCTCTTAGAACATAGGACCAACTAGTCTCTAGGTTAATTTTGCCTACTCTCCAAGGAGGGACATGTTTTCCCTTGGCCAGACTTCTGTATTCTTCATGCATCTTTCCTTGAGACGCTCTAAGTCCTCAAACCCATCCCATAAGGAAAAGATACCGGGCTGGGGATGTGGCTCAAGTGGTAGCGCGCTCGCCTGGCTGCGTAAGGCCCAGGTTCGATCCTCAGCACCACATACAAACAAAGATGTTGTATCCGCCGAAAACTAAAAAATAAATATTAAAAAAATTCTCTCTCTTTAAAAAAAAAAGATACATAAATACTAGCTGTTACTCCTTCTCAACAATATTTAAAATCTGTTCACTTAAATCTAGCTTCAATGGCAACTCTCAAGCACCATGTAAATCATGAAGAAAGTACATTCACTAAGATAATGTACTATATATAGTTTTCAAAGATTAACCACATCAATATAGTACTAGTCAACAAGGTTAAAAACTCAATTGCTAGAATAAGTTGTCCTCCCCCAAGTGAAAAAAACCACCGGAAACCCTAAAGTTAACATGCTCTATGCCCCCAATAAGGCTAGGTTAAAAAGCGCCTTTTCCCTTCTTGTTCCTCCCTTCCCTCCCGTCTACTCCCGAGTTCTTCATCAGGCCAGTAACCAAGGACCTTGGCAGCTGCGGTTCGCTGGCCTCTCCGCAAGGCACGTTCTCTAGCACGCTGGCTGAGATACCAACCACCGACGTCCGCCCGGGCGCACCTTGTTTCTCTGGGCACACCCGCTGAGAGCTGTTCTCCTGCACTTTCCTCTCTGCCGCTGCGGCCTGCTCTTCCGACCACTCCACATCGTCCCTGGGAAAACCAAACAGGCAGCTTAGGGGCCTCTCATCTCAGCTGCGGGCAGGGTCAGTCGCTGGCCGGGAAGCGCGTCTTCTCGGGAGGAGCGAGCCACGGCCAGGGCAGTTGTACTAGTGGCCTGTGGTCAGGGGCTTCTCCAAGCGCTCGGAGCGGCGGGACGGGGGCGAGCCGCAGGCCGGACGAGGGGCAGGGCAGTTACCAGGCATTGTGGTGGAAGACGCGCGCTGGGTCGCTCAAGAACCGGCTGCCGAACTGTTGCCTCTTCCCGCCCAAGGCGGCCGACGACACACCTTCAGGACTCGAGTCGGCCATGGTACCGGAGCCGGAAATGCCTTCTTTTCGTAACGCGAGAACCCCTGTGGGCCACGCCCCTTCCTGGACGCCCGGGACCTGGGCGGGAAAAGAGGGGGGCGGGGCGGCCAACGAGTAGGCGAAAGGAAGCTCGCTGAAAGGGTGCGAGCGGAGTAGTTCTTCCCGACGGGTTGCTGGTAGGCGGGCAGGGTGTGAAGAAAGTGGGAGACATCCCTCTTGAGCCCCAGTTCAGTGCTGGGGTCCTACCAGGTTCCCCAGTTAAGTTGTGAGGAAAAATCTTGAATCACTCTAGTGAGGATACGTGGCTTCACTGTGGAGCTGATAGCCGGAGAACTGAGGAATAACTGGAATGACAAGCCAGCGCCACGTCCGCCATCAGCACCTTTTTTTTTTTTTTTTTTAACAATCTGTAGCCTGGTTTAATACAGCCAAGATCTAGGGCTTGGGTTCAGTCCCCTTCAGGAGTGGGCGTGGGAGACTGTAATACTCACATACCAATAGTCTGTAGTATTAATACATTTTCAGCTTACCTTTCTATTTCCAGAACTACTACGAGTTGATTCACAAGAGTCTAGAAATAGGCTGTCAATATAAAATAAGGCCCGGCATGGCGATAGCACGCTGTAATCCCATTTTCTCGGGAGTCTGAGATGGGAGGAGGCCAGCCAGGGCAATTGAATGAGATCCTATTTCTGAAGGACTGGGGATGTAGATCAGCAGGAAGGCCTTGGGTCCAATCCCTGGTACAGAATTTCCCTATCTTTCTATCTGGTTGAGAAGACTTTCAAGAGAAGTGTAATCACTACCACCTAGGAAAGGGTTATTTAATTAATGCAGTGCTAGACATGGTACATTGGTATTCTATTGCAGATTCTTTGTATAGGTAAAACTGAGAGCAACAACGAGAGAGAGTACTTTTCCCATTAAAGAAGCGGAAACAAACCCAACGCGCTCTCTATCCATGAAGAAAAAGACATGGATTGATTAAAAAAGAGAAGATAAGATACTCAAGAACATATACTTTGTTTGAAGACAAAGTACTTTTGTTATTTTCATGGACTTCTGAAGCGTTTTGAACAGAAGCTCCATTCCAAAATACAAATACAAGAATTTCTTTCTTTTCTCAAGGCCAGCTGTTTGCAGATAAGGTGGCTGAATTAAATTTATTTTTGACATCATCTTCTTTCATCTAAGGGCTATTTTTCTGCCCTCATCAAAAGCTGTTAGAGTTTCCATTCCACAGTTCCATTGCATATCTTTTCTTGTTTTCTTTTTTCGTACAAGGGATTGAATCCAGGGGCGTTTACCACTGGGCTACATTCACAGCCACCTCCCACCGCCATTTTTAAAAAATTTTAACTTTGAGATAGGGTCTCCTTAAATTGCTCAGAGCCTCACTAAGACTTGGCTTTGAACTTGTGATCCTCCTGTCTCAGCCTCCTGAGTCACTGGGATTACAAGCACACTCCCCCACGCCTGGCTTCCATATTTTCTCCTTTTTTTTTTTTGTACTTTAAAAGACCATTTTAATTTAGCAGACAAATGTAAGGCCATTTATTTCCAAAAAAAAGTGTCTAAATTTACCATCGAATAAAGGCATTTCATTTTTTTTTTCTGTGTTACATAAACTCATTAGGAGCCTAAAATCTAGTCTAGCAAGTTGGGGATCTGACCAAGGTCAATCTGATGGTTTAGAATTATACCACTTGCACTGTTTAAGTTAGCTGTGAGAGGGACACAATCATGTTGGCGGAGTCGTGGCTCTACAGGTAGATGCATTTGGGGATGGATCCACCACATATTTTCTTGCAGAGAGCTCCTTTTCTGTATTTGTTGGCAGGTATTCTATAAGTTCCAATAATTAGTCATTTAAAATATTCAACAGTTTGGGTCTTTTTTGTAAGATGTTTTAAAATATCCTAAACTCAATTTTATAGAATTATCTTTGGTTGGCTTGTACAACAGAATCTTTTGAAGAATCTGAAATAATTGTTCAGAAGAAGTTTGGAATACACGCTGGGAATTCTGTGTGACTGTATTGAGAACACTATTTCAGAGGAGCTAAGGGTCCCTCTGGTGGTGAGTAATGAGAACTCTTCTAGCTCAGCTAGTGTTATGGGTTCAAAGCTTGTGAAGAAGGTTAATAACTCTTGTTCCTTATGTGTTAACCCAGGACAAGGATAATTAATTATTTCATGCTTTTATTTCAGTTCGTGTCAGAATTTTGGGCTGTTTAAGCATGAGCTCTGGGGAAGAATGACTGGGGAAGGATCCTGATGTCCTAATTTGCTCTGTTTAAGTTTCACAGAGCCAGATCATTCTTCTAGTAGCCCTAGGTAATTGTAAAACCTGGTTTAACAACTTTATTTATTTTTTGTGGTACTGAGGACTAAACTCCTGGGCACTGTACCACTGAGATGCATCCCCAGTCTTTATCTTCTTATTTTGAGACAAGGTCTTACTAAGCTGCCTAGGCTTAAGCTTCTGCCTTAGGCTCCCAAGTTGCTGGTATTATAGGCATGCACCACTATGCTCAACTTCTTTAGTATTTTTTGAGATGTAGTTTTGCCATGTTGCCAAGGCTAGACTTGAACTTGTTTTTTTTTTTTTTTTTTTTTTTGTTTTTTTGGTACCAGGGATTGGACCCAGGAACACTAACCACTGAACACCATCCCCAGCCCCTTTTTATATTTTATTTAGAGACAGGGTCTCACTGATTTGCTTAGGGCCTTGCTAAGTTGCTGAGGCTGGTTTTGAACCTGTGATCCTCCTGTCTCACTCAGCCTTTTGAGCTTCTGGGATTATTAGCTTTGAACTTGTGGGCTCAAGCAATCCTCCTGCCTCAGCCTCCGGACTAGCTGGGACTACAGTTATGTGGTACTATGCCTGGCTTGCAAATATATTTAGATTTTTTAATATTTGGGGGAGCACAATTATTTTAATGCTATTTTTATAATTGTTTTGGGAGGTCTTCACTACCTTCACTACTTTTTCCTGGAATTTTATAATTTTACGTTATAATCCACTGTCCTTATCAGTATTAAACATGTCTTTCCCTTTTTCTGGATCATATTTTTCTAGAATAATGATGTAAAAAGCATTAGTTCTACCTGGGAATGGTGGCTCATGCTTGTAATCCCAGTAAATCACAAGGTTAAGGCAGGATGATTGTAAATTTGAGGACAGCTGGGCAATTTAGTTTCAAAATAAAATAAAAAGGGTTGGGGATGTAGCTTAGTGGTAGAGCTCTTGACTAGTGTGAAGCTCTGGTAACTAACACACACACACACAGAAACTAAATTGGCTGGGGGTATAGTATAGCTCAGTGTTACAGCAAACTTGGGTTCAATCCCCAGTACCAAAAACAAAACAAACAAAACCAAAAAAACCCACATTTGTTCTAGATTAGTGTTTAGTTTTTTGGTCTTACATCTTTTTCAGTAAATATGAACCTGGCTACTGTTCAAGAAACCTCTAGGGGCTAGAAATGTAGCTCAGTGGCAGAGTGCTTACGTAACGTGTGAGGCACTGGGTTCAATTCTCAGCACTGCATATAAATAAAGTTTCATCAACAACTTAAAATTAAAAAAAAACCCCACAAATAGGAATTACCTTGCAAATGATTCATGACTGATCATGATCTACATAAATTTAAAGCAACTGTAATATTCAGAGGATTAGCTTTAGCTCCCTCTTTCCATTTATTAACTCCAAACTGAGAATGTATAAAGATAAATAATAATTAATAAAAATAAAAATTTATTAATTATTAATAATTAATAAATTACAGTCTTCCCAATAACTTGTATTATAGTTATATATTTGTTTCTTCATTAGATAATCTCTGCCTTTTATTAAATTGATTGTATGGGGCTGAGGAGGTAGCTCAGTGGTAGAGAACTTGACTAACATGCTTGAGGCCCTGGGTTAGGTCCCCAACACTGGGTGGCATGGTGGGGGAGCATTTGTACCATATGATGATTGGGGTGGATTAGCCACACACCTGCAAATCATTCTCTTGGATAATTCTTACAAATAGAGGATCTCTTCCCTTACATTTTTAGATCAGAATTAGCTTTGGAAACAACACTTTTGCTATCTTGACTGTATATTAAAAGGTTAGTATAAACTGGGTATGGTGACTCACACCTGTAATTTGGATTTGGGAGACTGAGACGGGAGGATTGAAAGTCTGAGACCACCTCAGCAACTTAGCAAGGCCCTATACAACTTAGTGAGACCATGTTTTAAAAAATAAAAGGAGTTGGGGATATGGCTCAGTGGTGAAGTGCCCTTGAGTTCAATCCCAGCTACCAAAAAAAAAAGTTGATTAATGTTGGTACAATCCCAAAATTGTCTATGATCAGTTCTCAAGAACCACAGGGGAAAAAAATGTTCTAAGAACTATAAGAGTAGAGCTGAGCATGGTGGCACATACCTCCAGTAGCTTAGGAGGCTGAGGCAGAGGGATTGCAAGTTCAAAGGCAGCATCAGCAAGTTAGCAAGACCTGTCTCAAAAGCAAAAAATAGATTGGGGATGTGGCTCAGTAGTTGAGTGCCCCTTGGTTCAATCTCTGTTACCAAAAGAGGGGGAAATGAGTGGAACTAGGAAGAATAAAAATGTAATAGATATGATACACATTGAAACATTATTAAAATAGGAAATTTTACATAATGTACTTTTTTTGAGAGAGAGAGAGAGAGAGAGAGAGAGAGAGAGAATTTTTAATATTTATTTTTTAGTTCTCGGCGGACACAACATCTTTGTTGGTATGTGGTGCTGAGGATCGTACCCAGGCCGCACGCATGCCAGGCGAGGGCGCTACCGCTTGAGCCACATCCCCAGCCCCACGTAATGTACATTTAAAAAATGTTTTTAGTTATACATGGACACAATACTTTTATTTTATTTATTTTTTAATGTGGTGCTGAGGTTCAAACCCAGTGCCTCTCTCATGCTAAGCAAGTGCTCTACTACTGAGAACAACTCCAGCCCTTATGTAATGTTCATTTTACCACAATAAAAATTACAGTCTTCCCATAACTTGTATTATAGTTATATATTTGTTTCTTCATTAGATATGTTCTTTAGTAGCAAAGGTAATAGATGAGATCAGCTATGGGTAGGAGCAAGCCAAGAGACAGGTGTGTGGCTAAGGACACTTAGGAACATCCAAATTTAATCACCATTCCTCTGGGGGGTGGTGGTGGTGGTGACATTATTCCCTGAAATGGAAGGGTTATTGTCATGCATGCACTGCCTCTAACCACTTCCATGTACATTTGAAAACCTAGTCCCTGGCCTGAGGTTGTAGTTTAGTGGTATAACACTTGCCTAGCATGTGTGAGGCACTGGGTTCTATCCTCAGCACCACATAAATATAAGTAAATAAAATAAAGGTACTGTGACATCTACAACTAAAAGTATATTTTAAAAAAAACAAATGGCGAATGTTTTCTCTGATATAAGGCAACTGACTCATAGTTGGGTAGGGAGAGGGAGCAATGGGAGGAATTGATGAACTATAGATAGGGCAGAGGGGTGGGAGGGGAAAGGAGGGTCAGCAATGATGGAGGAATGTGATGGACATCATTATCCAAAGTACATGTATGAAAACACGAATTGGTGTGAATATACTTTATATATATACAGAGATATTAAAAATGTACTCTGTATGCCTAATAAGAATTGTGATGTATTCTGCTGTCATGTACTTTAAAAATAAAAGCAATTAAAAAAAAAACTAGTTCCCTTTTATAGTTAGTCACTCAGATGTTTACCTGTTTTTTGAACTTTCCTGCTGAGGCCCTGGCAGTTTTATGCCAGGTGGGGGCAGCAGAGTGTAGCTGGAACTAACTGTGGCATCTACTTACAAAGATTTAGGAAAGGAAACCATTTTATGACTTAAAGATTTTTACTGGTCAGAATCCAAAAGATGGCAAAATTTCCAGCTGCTAGGAATGTACTAGACAAAAGCAAGAAATCATAATTTTGATAACTGAAAAAGTAGTTTTTGATGAGTTGTTTAGGAAATGTAGAAATTTCATTGTTGAAACACTCTAAAACCTTTCCGTTTTCTTTTTCTTCCTGTCTCTCTGTCACATTCACTGACATCTGATCCGGAAGAGAATCCGGAGTTAAATGGGAAATTTTTATTGGTGTAGGCATCATATAACCGTAAGTCCTTAGGAGAAAGTAGTTCTTGGCAAACATTCCAGGACCATGTATAAGTAGAAAAGGTGTCATAAAAGGACTCATTGTTAGTGTCTATTCCAATCAGATCCCCTCGTATCTTCTGCCAGAGATTTAACATTTCTTTCCGATGTGCAAGGGCAACTCCTAAATTATAGTTTTCTGTAGCTCTCTTTACCTGCAATGAGAACATAGTTTACTGTAGTTACTGCCAAATATCTTTGACCTGTGGACCACAATCATAGCAGCCCAAGAGTTATGTATTTGAGAATCATTGAGTCTGTACATTAGGTAGTGCCTCTTAAGGACATTTGAGCTAAGAGTTTCTGGACAATCAAAATGTGTTGCTTAGGAATAATGAGATAATAAGAACTTTTATAAAAATATAATGGACTAAAATAAGGAGAAGTATGGGATGGCGATAGGTTGAATTGAGTACCAATTATATCTCCTAAAACAGGAGAACCAGGGAAAAGAGTTAAGCTAAGTCCTTAAGTATTTGGTAATATTGAGGGAGTGAGTGGTGATGGGAAGGTGTTCTAGGGAGGAGACAGAATAAACAAAGGCTGAAATACAGTCAGTATTCTGGAATTGATCAGAGGATTCAGGCACTTTGGTATTGCTGGAGTGTCACATTGAAAGTGGGAGGAAAAGCTGGTCATGGTGACGCACGCCTGTGATCCCAGTGACTCCAGAGGCTGAGGCAAGAGGAGTACAAGTTGGAGGCCAGCCTTGGCAACTTAGCAAGATGTTGCCTCAGGTGAAAAATAAAAAGGCTGGGGATGTTGTTCAGTAGTAGAATGCCTCTGGGTTCAATCCCCAATACCAGAAAAAAATGTGGGAAGTATGGAGTGACAATGGAGAATCAGCAGACTCTTAACACTTAATCTTATAAATCAGTGATTCAGTATGGGTGGGGAGAGTCATTTCCTTGTGAAAATCATGTTGTAATGAAATAAATCCTTCAGTGTGTTTAGTAGAAAATTGAAAAAGGCTGCCATGGCTGAGAGGGAAGCCTTCGCATTTTAGCAGGATAGTGACTTGGTTGGATCTTCATGTGAGATCATTGGTACTGTGTTGAGAATGGTTGGAAGGCAGCAGCTACATGGCTAAGGATAGTGGGCTGGAGGCTGTTTTACAGGTGAGACCTGTGGAGGGCCTCAACTAAGGCAGAGGTAATAGGGATGGGATGAAGATAGATTTCAAAAATTCCCCAGAATGAGAGGATGGGTTTGGTGACTGGTAGATGTGTGGAATGAGGAAAAATGCAAAAATTAAGGACAGTTCCTGGCATTAAAGTTTCAGTGATTGAGTGGATTCTGTATCAACAACTGAGATGCAGAATTCCTAGGTAGAGACAGTTTGCTGAGAAGTTGAGAAGCGGTTAGAGCATGTTGAGTTTTATGTGCTATGAGACAGCATAGAGGTGGAACTTTTTTCAGGTAGATCATTGAGACAAAGTACAGGAAAAAAGTCTAGGCTTGGGACAAATTTAAGTATCATTATATGGGTGATGGCTGAAACAAGGAAGGTAGATTGAAATAGCTCAAAGAATGTCACTCTAGCTATTCCTTTACCTGATACAGAGATGCCAGTGTCCTGCTGTGACTGGATTACAAGGATGCCAAACTATTTGATCTCAAGCTTCTTAGCCCTTGGGACAGTTGGTGCCCCAGGGATGGAGGCCTCTAGCTATATGCAGCTTCCTTTTATTCTAGTGTGTGTGTGCACCACGATGAGACTGTTGGGAGCTCGCTCCTCTGTTTCTGTGGCGTGTACTACAGAACACACAGAGTTCATTTATCCCAACCCAAGCCGAGGAGAGCTTGATTGTTAGTATCAAGTGCAGAGGGACAGGAGGCTGAGGCAATAGGATCACAAATTCAAGGTCAACCTTGGCAACTTAGTCTCTGTCTCAAAAAAATAAAAAGAAGTGGGGATGTAGCTCTGGTAGAGAGCTTCTGGGTTCAATTCCTAGTATGGCCCAAACACACACATACACACACAAAATGCAGAAAAGAAGTGGCAAAAAGTAATTATATCCTGCTATTTTTCTGTGGGATATATAAATTGCTAAAAGTTAGGACATAAAACTAGACAGGAAGCATAGAGTTGTTAAAAGTGTTTATTCTGGAGCCACTCTCCCCATGTTTATAATCCTTAATCTGTTCTTTACTAATTTAGTGCCTTAACCTTTTTATGCACATCTGTAAAATGACAAGGAATAATAATAGTACTTGTCTCAAAGAGTTGTTGTGATAATTAAATGAATCAGTACCTGTAGAGCACTTGTAGAATATTTGTGTAGTGCTGTGTCTAGCACTTGCAAAGTACCTTTAAGCTATTGTTAACATTGTTAGTTGCTATAATGATGATGCTTTCATTCATCTCAATTCTGAGTACATCACTCATGGTGACAGTGGATTTATTACCTTAATTTGTTTGATATTTCTATCATGAAACAAATGAATGTTATAGAACCGATGCTAGGTATACCTATTTAGGTGATTACTAGGATGAATCCTAACATTTAACATTTGAATCTGTTTGATTATAGAGCAAAAAATATTATCATTACAGTGGATACAAATGAGAAACCATCGTGTTTCATTTTAATTTTTTTTGTACTAGGAATTGAACCCAAGGGTGCTCTACCATTGAGCTACATCCCTTGTCCTTTTTATGTTTTATTTTGAGACAGAGTCTTGCAAAGTTGCCCAGACTGTCCTTGAACCCATGCTCCTCCTGTCTCAGCCTCTCAAGTTGCTGGGATTACATATGTATATCACCATGATCATCTTTCTATCTTGTTTCATTTTAAAGACAGGGAGCAGATAAAAATGCTCTTGAGTTTATGGGAAAGTATTGAAATTGAAAATATTTTTGTTAATGTGGCTGGGAAGGCATTCAACTATGAATACTCACGTGCTGTTTAATAGCAGCTGCATCAGCCACTGTCCATCTGTGCTTTTTCTTGAGTATTTGATTGATGGCAAGGATGTCATCTGAATAGTTTGAAGAAATGTTCACAGGCTTTATGTTTGCTGCCTTTATGTACATTTAAAAAAGAAGATTATTAATACATTTTAGTTTGAATTATACATACATACATAAAGATATAATAAACAAAAATATATTTCAGTATGAGAGAATTTGCATATGATTTATAAGGTTATTGTTAAACTATTTTTCAGTTGTGTTGGAGCCCCTAGAATAGTGCCACATGTAAATTGGATATTTAGTAAAGGTTCTTTAATAATGACAAAACCTATTCATAAGAGAAATACAGATCAGATGGCTTATTGACTAGATATAGAGAATAAAGAGAAGCCAACTCCATCTTGACCCAAACGTCCCAAGCTATTACAAGCACCCAAAATGAAGGTACCCTCCACAGAGTACCACCTCTATTACTTCCAGACTTCTGACAGGCAACCCATGGCTATTTCCCCTGTACTGTGCTATTGAACAATTGCTAGTGAAAATTACATATACTGCTTGCTCTTTTTGAAAATGTCTTATCATGGAGTCCTGTTCAGGCCTTTACTACTGCTTGACATTTTCTTTCTTCATTCACTCTTACCATAGTGGCTGCTGGAAGCCAGATCTTCAAACTTTCTCAACTGATGATTTTGGCTCTTTTTCTGTTTGTTTATGGTATTGGAGATTAAACCCAGGGCTTTGCATGTGCTAGGCAACTGCTCTACCATTGAGCTACATCCCCAGCCATTTTTATTTTTAATTTGGTGGTAGAGTCTTACTAAATTGCTCAGGCTGGCCTCAAACTTGTGATCCTCAGCCTCCTGAGTAGCCAGAATTTATTGTATGCCAACATGCCTGGCTGATCTTGTCTCTTTAAAGCTATCTAACATGAATTCTCTTAACTCTTCTGCCTACCCTATGGTTTCTCCATCCTTTAACTATTTTTTCATCTTTTCCTTTTATATGAGAATGTTTTTCCTGATTTCCTAGGGCAAACTCAATCCTGTATTCTCTATTTGTTCCTTCCTGTTTTTTTTTTTTTGTTTGTTTTGTTTTGTTTGTTTGTTTTGTTATCTGGGATTGAACCCAGAGGCACTGAACTACTGAGCCACATCCCCAGCCCTTTTTCTTTCTTATTTTGAGACAGGGTCTTGCTAAGTTGTTTAGGGCATGGCTAAATTGTTGAGGCTGGTCTTGAACTTGAGATCCTCCTGCCTCAGCAGTGGGATTACAGGCATGAACCATTATGCCTGGTCCTTCTTGGGATCTTATCCCTTCACTTTTCCTTTCTCTAAGGGCCAGCTTCGTGGACATGTGATCTGTACAATTATATAGGGGTCACACTTAGGAATCCCCTGCATTTGGTTTAATGTTCTGTTATTGTTGTCTTGAAATGCCTTTGTGTGTGTGTGTGTTGCTAGGAATTGAAGTCAGGCACCCCATGCATGCCAGGCACGTGTTCTATCACAGAGCCAAATCTCCAGTCCTCAATGGTTGCTTTTTTTTTTTTAAATATATATTTTAGTTGTAGATGGACACAATACCTTTATTTTTATGTGGTGCTGAGGATCAAAACAGTACCTCATGCATGCTAGGCAAGCACTCTACCACTGAGACACAACCCCGGCCCTATGGTTGCTTTTAAAGTGTTTTTTTCCATGATTTTTAATTTCACTGCAGTGTTTCAAGTTGGTTTTACATTTATGTACCTTGCTCCAGAGTGTTTTCTTTAATCTAAGAATTCAATTTTTTCATCACTTTAGATAATCATCAGAATTTATGTAATTCTCAGCCATTATCTATTCAAATATTGATTCTTCTCCATTCCATTTTTTTTTTCCTTTTGGAGCTCTTTTTGTATTCTGTTGGAATTGCTCATGTTACCCTTCATGTTTATTATCTTTTCCTTTAGTTTTTCTTTGTGTTGCAGTTTAGGTAAGTTCCTCAGCTCTGTCTTCCAGTTCACAGTCTTCTTACTATAAAGAATCTACTGTTTATTTTTTTAACTAAATGCTGTATTTTAAAAATATATTCATTTTTAAATTGTAGTTAGATAAATTTTTATTTATCTATTTTTATGTGGTGCTGAGGATCGAATCCAGGGCCTCACATGTGCTAGGTGAGTGCTCTATTACAATCCCAGCCCCTGAATGCTGTATTTTTCATCTCTAGTAGTTCCATTTGGTTCTTTTCAAATGAGCCCTCTTCCCCCATTCTGTTTACTGCCCCCACCCCCAATTAGGTTTTTTATTCCTTTTGAAAATTCTCTTTAATTATTTAAAGAGAGTAGATTTAATTTAATAATAATAATAAATTATTATTATTATTATTATTATTATTATTGGTACTGGGAATTGAAGCCAAGTGTTCTTTACCACTAAGCCACATCCCCAGCCCCTTTTATTTTTATTTTGAGAGAGGGTCTCACTAAATTGTTAGGGCCTTGCTAAGTTGCTGAGGCTGGCCTTTAACTTGAATTCTTTCTGCCTCTGCCTCCCGAGTCTCTGGGATTATAGGTAGGTGCCATCAGACCCAGAAAAAAGTAGTATTTACTTTATGTTATCTGAATTTATAATTTCCATATTTGATGAAGGATTGCCAAGGATGGCCTCTAATTTTATTTAGTAGTGTTTTAGACATTAACTCTGTTATATTGAATTATTGTAATGCTACTCCTATTTATTTTATTGCTGACTTTTTCAGAGTAGATTATTTCCTTGTATGACTGTAATTGTTGCCTATCTTTCAAAGAATTGTGTGTGTATGTGTGTGTGTGTGTGTGTGTGTATGTATGTACCATGTGATTCCTAGGATTTGGATATGTTTGTGTCTGGCAGACTTCTCAAGGTAGCTATAGTCTGAAGTCAGTTTTTAAATTTTTAATATATATATATATATATTAAAAATTTAAAAATTTTAAAAAATTAAAAATTTATATATTATATATAAATTTATATATATTATATATATATATATATATATATATATATAATTTTACTTCAGTGCTGGAGATCAAACTCAAGGCCTCATGCTGGCAAAGCACTCTACTGCTGAACTACATCCCCAGACCCTAAAAACAATTTTTAGGATAATTTTAAAGCTTATAGATTTCATCAAATATGGAAATTATAAATTCAGATAACATATCCATGTATTTCACTATCTCAACTTTGAAATTTTCCATTCAGAGCTTTGGCAAATCAAATTTATGCCTCTGTAGAATTTTTTACTTCTCTTTTCACTGAGAGGGCAGCCCTTCCAAAATTTGTTTTTTTTTGTAGAGGTCTCAATTGCCAGCTTATCTCTAGGGGTACATATTTCCTCATCCTGGATGGTCCCCCCTACCCTAGCCCCTAGACATGAGGGCCTGGAGCCATGTTCTCTACCTGCCTCCCCTCCCTGGCCACTCCCAGGGCCACTTTATGAGTTTGTAATTCTGGCTTTAGGTTCTTTCTTGCATTTTGTTTTTATTTTTCATTTTTAAAAACTTATGTATTTATTGCTACTGGTAATTGAACCTAGGAGAGCTTACCACTGAGCTATACCCCTAGTCCTTTTTATTTTTGAGACAGAGTCTTGCTAAGTTGCTAAGGTTGGCCTTGAATTTGAGATCCTTCTACCTCAGCCTCCCAAGGCACTGGGATTACAGGTGTGCACTACTGTGCCAGCTCTCTCTTGTTTTCTGAAACTTGAGAATTTTCCTTGATTTGAATACTTTATTTATTGTACTGGGAATTGAACCCCAGTGAGCTACATACCCAGTCCTTTTTTGTTTTTATTAGATACAGAGTCTTGCTAAATTGCCAAGGATGGCCTCTAATTTATAATCCTTCTGCCTTAGCCTCCTGAACAGCTGAGATTATAGGGTGCACTGCTGTGACCTGCCAAATACATTTTGTAATGTTTGCCATTTAATTTAATTTAATATCATCCAGTATTTTTATATTCTCATGGGGAATCTGTGAGTGGGTTGGGCAATGGAGAACAGCTGGATGGGTGGGGGATTGTTTATATAGCTCCATTACTTTCATTCTAAAACTTGAAAGTCCCATTTCCTGGTTCCAATTAACATTTACAAGTATATAGTAGATTAGATGTTGTAGTATATTAGAATAGATCTACTACACAGTACATGAGATCTCATAATGTATATATACATTATTTAACATACTATATATTTATACATATATTCTATTATTATAAATGTAAATTTATATCTTATAGCATATTAGATGAAGTGTAATATATATGGACATAAATATTAGATAAAATGGATGTAGATGTAATATACATATATATGTAAAATATGTGATCTATTACATGAAGTATGTAATATATTAGCTGGTAATAAATGTTATGGAGAAAATCAGGGAAGGGGATGGGGATATTGGAAGTTGTAGATTTTTTATTTCTTTGATTAAAATTTTTTTCTGTACCAGGGATTGAACCCAGGGTCACTTAACATTGAGCCACATCCACAGCCCTTTTTTATATTTTAGTTGCTGAGTTGATGAGACTGGCTGTGAACTCAGAGTCCTCCAGCCTCAGCCTCTAAAGCCAATAGGATTACAGGAGTGCACCACTACACCTGGCCTAATTATTTTATTTTATTTTGGGGGGACAAGGTCTCCCTACATTGCTTAGGTTCTCTCACCAACTTCTGAGGCTGGCCTTCAACTTGTGATCCTCCAATCTCAGCCTCCTGAGTTATTAGGATAACCATTAGAGGTGTGATTTTATTTAAATACATGTTAAATTTATTGAGATGAAAATTCATATAAAATAAAATTATCCATCTGAAGTGAACAATTAAGTGGCACTTGCACATTAACAATGTGGGGATTGTCATTTTAATATGATTGCTAGAGAAGGCATTCTGAAATGACATTTGAGACAAGACCTGAAAGAGGTGAGGGAGAGAGCTATGCAGATGTCTAGGTAACAGCATTCAAGCAGAGGGAAGAACAAAGCTAGAGTGAGATGGAAGCAAGTCTGATATGTAAGGCACAGTAATGAGACATTGCAGGTAGAGTGAAGTGCGCTGGAAGGTGAGCAGTGGTAAGAGAGATCCTTGGATCTGCAGGGAGGGTCTAAGTCGGTGATGTCCAATAGAACTTTTCACAGTGATGGAAATGTCCTATTTTTGTGCCATCTAATATGGTGTCCATTTGCCACATATGGCTACTGAGCATTTGAAATGTGGTTAGTATGACAGAAGAACAGGATTTATTAATTTAAATGCAAATAGCTACTAGTGGTTGAAGTTATTGAAAGGCTTAGATTTAGATTTTGTAGGATCTAAATTGTCATAAAGATTTTGTTTTTGATCTCTGAGGGAGCAGATTTCAAGCTCAATTTAACCGAGCCATTTTGGTTAGTGTATGGAGAACAGATTGAAAAGGACAAAAGTAGAAGCTAGTTGACAATATAGCAAGCTATTGGTGCTTTCTCTATTAAAATTATTAACACATAGGATGCCCTCAAAAAACAAACTATTGAGGGTTATAGACCGCGTGTTTTTCCTGCAGGGCTACCGCGGCAGGCGCCTCAGGTCCGCAGATTTAAGGACCCAGAACCCCGGCCCACCATGAGGACTGCGCAAACACGACAAAGCTGGATGGCGGGCTTAATATAGAATATTGAAGGGAGCGGCCTGTCATAAGGTTGCATATTAGCAGAAGGAACACCAGCAGCTGAGTTTTGGAGCCTGGAAATTTGCCTTTTCGTGAGGATTTTGGAATGGAGCCCTGAAGAGCAGATTATAGACCTGGTGGCAGCAACCTAAGCTCTGGAGGCTGTATCTCCCAGAGGATGATCAGTTCCGGGGATCAGTAACCACCATTGATTTGGATTCTGAAAATCTAAACAGCTTCAACATTTGGAAACATGGTCACCTTGTGTGTCAGGCTGTTCACAAGAGATCATTCAGCAGGCCCGATTGGTTTCATTACCCCACCCAACAGGAATTTCTATACCTTTTAATCATTTTATGTGTACACATTGGTTGCCCTTATATTGGAAGGGTGAGATCTTTAAGCCAAAAATTGTTTCTCTTGAATATAATGTCTAATACCATAATAAACAATGGTCTTTGGTGATTCTTGAATATGCAAAAAAAAAAAAAACCAACAAACTATTTGTGTTATAATTTTCTTTCATCCAAAGGGGCTAGGAGTATAGCTCAGTGGTAGAGTATATATACTTAGCATGTTTGAGGCTCTGGGTTTGATTCTTAGCACCAAATCAGACCAAAAAAAAAAAAAAGGCCAGGCTTTGTTTTAAGTACTAGAGATACTTAGCAAAAGAAATAAGGTTCTTGTCTACATGAACTTTATATTCTAGTTGGAGAAACTGATGATAAAAATAATGGGAGAGGGGTGACTCAATGTTAGGACATAATTTTTTATAGTGGAATTTTTTATACCTTTATTTAATTTAGTGCTGAGGATCTAACCCAGTGCCTCACACATGCTAGGCAAGTGCTCTATCATTGAGCTACAACCGCAGCCCCTTGGCACATAAATTTAAAGAGGGATGAGTGTCCTCTTATTTCCATCTTATCAGTGACATGTGCCTGGGTGTGACTTTGTTTGGGGAGACAAAGTAAAAGTCTGACCTCAAGGTAATTTTTGACAGTGATATCCCTCCAGAATCACATAAAAACCCTATGTTTGAAGGGCCTTCTAGTGATTTCATAATGAGGTGAACCAGGCATGGACCTCTGGAACTCAATATATGCCCCTATAGCCTGGGCTGGTTTCTAGACAAATCTTAATTCTTTTGTTCAAGCAGGGAGAACTGCAACCAATCTGGGAGCTTCTGAGAGAATACCTCTGAAAACATGAGCATATTTACCTGTGACCTTAAAACTAATGAGGACAGAATTTTCAGGGAAAAATAAGTTAGAGACAATAGAGCTTAAAGCAGGGCCAGAGGTACAGCTGGGATTCTGGGTCAAGGTCAGAATGGTCCCTCTCTTCACACCATTGCTTAATTTGTGTGGACCTGGTCCTCTCATCCCATGGTGTCTGGCCAACTACAGTCTTGAGATGGTCAAGAGAGTCCAAAATATAGCTTCAAATCCCTGACACAGTGCGGGGAGCAGTGGAGATAGACTTCAGGCCTTCTAGTGTTATTATTCTTGAATTCTATATCCCAACCCCAAATTTAGGATCGTCATTTTTCAGTAAGTCTTAACAATTTGTTGAAATTAAATGAAGTATCTACATCTGGGCTTATATTTAGGAACGTGGTTATGGAATCTGATTTGAAATATAATGACTAAAAATAAAAAGCATGTTATTAGTTGTTAAATTGGTACTTAAAAATGTAAGATTTAAATTAGCTAATGTGACATAACCTAAATCTCACCTGTGTTTTCCAGTCTCTTTTATGGAAAAAATAGTCCTCAAAGAAATTCAGAGGCTCCTTTCTCCTTAGCATTTCTAATTTTTGTGTGTCTCTGAATGGCTTTCCCATCACCACCCCATCCACATTAGGAAACAATGGAAAGATGGGTATTTTTGAATATGGGCTATCTGAATGGAAATTGCATCCTAAAAAGATAAAAACAAAAATGGTATCACTAACAACATAAGACGTTCCCATAAAAGACAAATGTGGTGCCTATTTTGCTTTTTCCCTATTCTTCTCTCATTGGTTATGGCCCTCCTTCACTTTCCTGTTCCTACTCCACACCCATCTGCAGACTTTAGGCTTCACCCAGGAATCTGAATACTCAGGTGAGGGATACCTGTGCATCCAAATGGTATTTGTGTGACAGAGAGTAGTAACTCAGAAGAGTCTCAGGCCCTGCTCTTGGCCTCTAGGTTTTATTTCTGAGTAGTCATATAAATAAATCCTTTTAAAAAGTGGGGAGGGAACAAATGGCTCTTACTTTTGAGCTCTTCAAGAAATTTAAATAAATCCTTTTCTTTCATTATTGCAACCCGAGCAGCATTAGCAAAGGCAGTGGTGCTTGAGCTTGGAGGTGTGCATATATCTGGCATAAATCTCCTTTTTCCATATTCCCTAGAATGGGGATTCCACAATATTTCTCCACTGGCCTCCTGGAATTTTCTTCGGAAATAGCTTTAAAAAAAGAAAAAGTAGTTCAGAAGTGGATAAAAAGAGTTGTAGGACAAAAAGAAAAAGTTTAATTATGTTACATATGCTGAGTAAATTTATTTTAAATTGAATTTGCATAATCATTCAATAATATTTGAGTGTCTAGTCCTGTGACATTTAAGAATATTCTGATACTTTTCACAGGCCCTTTCCCTTTTTTTTTTGGTTCTGGGGATTGTACCTAGAAGTGCTTTCTCACTGAGCTACATCCCTGACCTTTTATTTTAAAATTTTGAGACAGGGTCTCAGTAAGTTGCTGAGGGCCTCATCAAATTGCCTAGACTGACTTTGAACTTGTGATTTTCCTGCCTCAACCTCCCGAGTAGCTGGGATTATAGGTGTGTGCTACTGCGCCCAGCTTCCAGAGGCCATTTGACTATTTTATATCTGTAGTTCTTCGTCTTTGGTTTCCTTCTTCTTCTCCAAGACTTCATGGTCTTATGTAGAAAAATAAATACTTAAGGCCATTGACACTGTAATCCCAGTGCTCTGGATACTGAGGCAGGAGGATCACAAGTTGGAGGCTAGCTTCAGCAATTTAGTAAGATCCTGTCTCGAAATAAAAATTAAAAGGGAGGAATTAGAGAAATGCAAATCAAAACTACTCTTAAGATTTCATCTCACTCCAGTCAGAATGGCAGCTATTAAGAATAAAAACAATAATATGTGTTGGTGAGGATATGGGGACACTCTTACATTGCAGGTGGGACTGCAAATTGGTGCAACCAATATGGAAAGCAATATAGAGATTCCTTGGAAAACTTGGAATGAAACCATCATTTGACCCAGCTATTCCATTCCGGGTTTTTACCCAAAAGGACTTAAAAACAGCATACTATAGGGCTGGGATTGTGGCTCAGCAGTAGAGCACTTGCCTAGCACATGCAAGGCCCTGGGTTCGACCCTCAGAACCACATAAAATAAAGGTATTGTGTACAACTAAAACTAAAAAATAATTTTAAAGAAACACAATATACTACAGGGACACAGCCACATCAATGTTTATAACAGCACAATTCACAGTAGCTAAATTGTGGATCCAACCTAGATGCCCTTCAGTAGATGAATGGATAAAGAAAACATGCTATATATATACAATGGAATATTACTCAGCATTAAAAGAGAATAAAATCATAGCATTTGCAGGTAAATGGATGGAGTTGGAGAATATAATGCTAGGTAAAGTAAGCCAATCCCCCAAAAACAAATGCAGAATGTCTTCTCTAATATAAGGAAGCTGATTCATAATGGGATGAGGGGGGAGCATGGGAGGAATAGACTTTAGATAGGGCAAAGGGGAAGGAGAGGAAGGGAGTGGGCATGGTGGTAGGAAAGACAGTGGAATGAGACGGACATCATTACCATAAGAACATGAGTGGTGTGACTCTACTTTGTGTACAACTAGAGACATGAAAAATTGTGCTCTATTTGTGTAACATGAATTGACTTGCATTCTGCTGTCATACATCACTAACTAGAATAAATAAAATAAAATTTTAAAAAAGTGCTAAGGATGTAGGTTAATGATAGAGTACTCCTGAGTTCAATTCCCTAGTACTGAGAGAGAATATTGTTTAATTTTCATATATTTGTACAATTTCTAAAGTTTCTTTTTGTTGATTTTTATTTTTATTTTCTGCAGAGAATATATGCAATATTTTTGAATTTTTGATACTTATTTTGTGGCCTAACACATGTTATATGCTGGAGAATGTTCTACATGCTGATGAGAAGAATGTTTTCTGTAGCTGTTGGATGAAAGGTTCTGAAAATATCTGTTAGGATCATTTGGTCCACAGCATAGTTTAAGTCTGATGTTTCTTTGTTGATCTTTTTGTCTGGATGATCTGTTATTGATGAAATGATATGTTGAAATCCCTATTATTGAAATAGAATCTCTCTTTTCTTTTATATCTAAATCTAATCATGTTTGTTTCATATAATTGGGTGCTTCCAGCTTGGGTGCATATATATTTACATTTATTGATTCCTTTATCAGTATAGAATGACCTTATTTATTTATTTTTATATAATGAATTCTTTCTTTTTTTTTTAAGTATAGATACTCTTACTAACTTTTGGTTTCCATTTGCATAGTATATCTCTTTCCATTCTTTCATTTTCACTCTGTGTGGGTCTTTACTGGCTAAGTCAATTTCTTTTAGGCAGTATTATCCTTGGGTCTAGTTTTTTTTTTTTTAAATCCATTCAGACAGTTTATGTGTTTTAATTTGGTAATTTAATACCCAGTTTTTGTCTTGGACATTTTTATTTCTCTATAATTTCTGAAGGATTGCTTTGTTGTGTATAGTATTATTTACTTTCAGCATTTTGAATAAATCATTCCATTCTTTCCTGGCCTGTAAGATATTTACAGAGAAGTCTGTTGTTAATCTAATGGGGATTCCCTTATATGTGACTTGATGTTTTTCTCTTGTTGTCTTTAGAATTCTCTGTCTTGTACTTTGACAGTCTGACTCTAACATGTCTTAGAGAGAATCTTTTTTGGTTGAATCTATTAGTGTTGATAAAGATGGCGCCCAGAGTGCTTCTCTTCTGGGAGCTCAGGTCCGTGACACACTGAATAGCGCGTGAACCATCACCTCCAATCCCTGTGAATGGCAAGAACTTTGAATGGCACCTTTAATCCCTGAAGTGGCGTAAACTCTCAGCCAATGAAGAACAGCTCACTCGCCTTGCTCCTCCTCATCCTTTGTTAAGCCCATAAGTATCAACACCCTGTTCGTGCTCGCTCTCTTACTCTCTTTACTCTCCCGCTCTCTTTCTCTCTCTCTCTCTCCTCTCTCT